ATACATGCTCACCAGTGACTGTGGGCATTTGTGCACATTTGTGCTGTAAAACCAAAGGAGGGTTAAAGTAAGCATCTGCTGTACGTATCTGCACACAATGTTACATTGGTGGCATGGAGCCAAACCAAATGCGCATTTACTGATTATGTTTTTTAGGTTTTTTGGCATATCAGCTTTGTTGCCTCATAATTTTAAAATACAGACGTATGCAAATAGCTGTGCAAAAGCCCTGGAAAATTTCATTTTCCTCTTGGTTTGTAGACAATCATGGATGTACCCAGAAGGCTTCACTTGGTGCATTGAGTCAGTACTCCAGTTGCTGTAGGGATTTATCAGGAAAGTTCCAGGGAACCAATCGCCAAATTTTATAACTGTACGCAAGTCAGGTGTATTCCTGTAAGGTTCTCCGTCATTCTTTTAAATGTTTCGTTTGTGGTTGACTCTCAGAGCGGCAGGATAGGAGCTGATGAGAATATCGACGACACGGAAGGAAAAACAGTGGAAGAAGTGCAAGAGATGAGCAAGGAACAGGAGGCCAAGGCCAGGGCACAAATCTTGGAAATGGTGAGAGCTTTTAATAATGGCTGGTAAAACCTGGGACCCGATGAAGACAAACCTTTGTCAAACCACTTCCACTTAATGCATAGGCCTGCCACTTTTCTTATTGTTTTTGACTTTGTTTTAGATCTCGATCACAGGGCATATGGGTAATTCCAGCAATTAAGGGTCCAAAAGTGTGACATTTTCATGTCCTTGTTACTTCTGACCTTTGTTATTTGACATGGAAAAAACACCGGAATTTATTTCAAACTGTTGCTATTTGTTTGGCAGGTAATTTGCATTAATTCATCTCTCTTGGAAATTAGAACATATGTTCTGAACTTACAAAATCATATGTCATATGTGACAGGGACACAAAGAAAAAATGGACCCCTAATATCGGGAATTACCCATGCGTCTTTTTAACCAGATGCTTTTGAGTGGGTAAGAGATGGTAGAGAAATTTCACTCACTGCTGCAAAGGAACAGTTGCACATCCGCAAAGAGATTTCTGATGGCAAAATCACCAGTTCACACCTATTCTTCTGACATGAATGTACTCTGTAGCTTCTCAAATTGACCGAGGTAATTCAATCCTGTTTAATAGGTCGGGGATCTACCGGATGCAGACATCAAGCCCCCAGACAACGTCCTCTTTGTCTGTAAGCTGAATCCTGTCACCACGTCCGAGGACCTGGAGATCATCTTCTCCAGATTTGGCCAGATCAACAGGTACGGCATCCATAGAATACCAGTGTTTGTCCCAGGCATTTTAGTTTAGTCTGGTTACGATCCGTTATTGTTCTGACACGGCGCTTCCCAATTGGATTCTCAAAATCAGTAGTTGAAGTGAGATCAGTGGAATTAAAAAAAAGAAATTTATGTAACATCCTGCTGAAGAGATTAGCGATACAAGTTGTGACTTCTCATGTTGGCAACTGTAATTTGACAGTTGTGAGGCCTGCATTCTTCTTTATTGGACAGCTGTGAGGTGATCAGCGACCAGAAGACGGGCGAGTCCTTGCAGTATGCGTTCGTAGAGTTTGACAGGGTGAGTTGCAGTTTACAAGAGTGATTTTAGATTTCTTAGCACAATGCAGGTAACTGAAACCTATCAGGCGGCCATCTTGATCTGGTTTCCAGACACTGCAATTCCGTACATTTTGACAGGGTGAGTTGGAGTTTACAAGAGTGATTTAGATTTCTAAGCACAGTACGGATGTCTGTTACGTATTGGTAGGCTGGTAAATGCATCAGACAGCCATTTTGGTCTGGTTTCCAGACACTGCAATTCCATAGAGTTTGAGAGGGTGAGTGCAGTCATTAGAATGACTTCAGCTTTCTCGGTGCATTTATTTGTAGCGTATTGGTAGGTTGGTAAAGCCTTTTGGACCGCCATCTTGGTCTGGTTCCCAGAAACTGTGTTCTTCCAAAGAACTGAATCAAAATGGCTTGCAAGCCTAAAATTATATTCTTGCTTTTGCCTGGGGGAAAAATGCATTGCATAAATTTTATTTTCGAGATTTTGCTAAATTTTATATAACGTTTATCACCTTTTTTGAAAAAAATCATCACTTTGTCAGGTAGAAGATTGTGAAAGTGCCTACTTCAAGATGGACAATGTCCTCATCGATGACCGACGCATACATGTAGACTTCAGCCAGTCCGTGGCAAAGGTCAACTTTAAGGGCAAAGGTCAGCATCCATATTTTACACACTTTGATATCTTTACAACAATTTTCAGCTGTCTGACACTATGAAAGGGAGGTGGTTTCAAATTCAAGACAAGCCTTGGTTACATTTTCGTTTGGCTGACTGTAGTACACTTTTTCAAATGTTCATTGGATGTAGAATTCAGCTTCACTCCGTGTTCATTTGCTGGACTAAATGTCGGGTAAAAGTAAATCTGGCATTTTTTCCAGAACTCCCCTTCGTCTCCAGCTGTGTCTCACTCCCCAGAAGTGTGTCAAAATGTTTAGTGAGCAAGCCAAACAAAAGACTCTTAAGTCCTTTGTTAAGTCAGGTAGGCTTGCGGTTGCACCATGTACAAGAAAATATCTCTTTTATGAGTGTTTGGTTCTGAGAGGAACTGATGGTGAACACTGAATGTTCCAAACAGTGTGCTCTGTGCGTCTTCAGGAGGGTGACTGATGAACAGAGCATACTGTTCGGAACGCCGAGTGTCCACCATCGGTTCTTCTCAGAACCACGCATTCATAAAAGAGATATTTTCTTGTACATGGTGCAACCGCAAGCCTACCTAACTTAGTACTTCGACCATGCATAGCTTCAAGTCTTATCAAGTTCTTTGTTGCAACAAAGGATCCTTCACTGAGACTGTTGTCTGATTTAGGGTGTGAAATTCTTAAGCTAGAGACTGAAGCCAGATTTGGATATGGACCCACGATTTGAAAAGAGGCAATAGTCTTTCTTTCATGTGGTTTGTTTGTCGTCGGTATTTGCTCAAGTGATTCTTTTTTTTTTACCGCACAGGGCCCTTGCAGATGCCTCAGGACAGCTCCGACAAGAAGCCCAAATTTGCATTGAAAGACAAATCCTGGAAGCAGGAGTGAGTTTGTTTTGTCACAGTATCATGGTCTACTCCTTCCTATCCAAGTCTCCCTTGAAACTGGTATAGATTAAGCATGAGGAATCAAACTCACCTAGGGAGGCAGTGCTGGCAGAGTTGTTTAAAGGAGAAGGGATAAGTGCTTGGACACACAAAGGATTTGGGGAGCAAGAGGTGCAAATATTTGCGATAGGACTCAGACCAGTAGCCCAAGCCCTTTTGCGGGCAGTGGACATTTTGGGCATACCTTTTTATGCAAGCACATTTCGTCTCAGTCGAATGTTACTCCTAACACACTGTCTAGTTTGTCAAGTTCAATTTCTGCCGAACTTCTTCACAGTTTGATAACAATGTGATTTTGCCAAGTCCGAAGGATCTCTTATTAACGAGGCTCAACTGTAAATGTTGGCCTTTCAAAAGACTTAATTGCAACACTGTTGGTGACACTGTCTGTCTGCATCCACTTGCAGTGCTATAGACATATACAGTGACCATGGTAGTGCCATCATGGGTCATTTGCTGTGGCCTCCGCCAGCACTGTGATAACTATCCATATGCTCAGTACTAAAAGTTATTACTACAATTCAATTTTTAAAATACTCTCAGAGCCTTACTCCGAGCCTAAAAGAAATATTTTGTTGAAACAGACTTCATTTTTTGAACTTTTATTTAAAAACCAAGTTTTTTGGGGGGCGGATATATTTAAACTTCAACCAAATTTGTTTTTAATCTCATGTATTTTCAACAAGGACCTTTCCAGTGCAGTTTTCAATAAGAACAGTTAGCACTGATGCGATGCATTGTACGGAGCTGCTGTTCTGTAACAGTTGCTCCAGTGCAAAACCCAGCAAAATGCTGCGGCCATTATCAAGGAGGGCGTCAGGAATGTCCCGTGAAACATCACTGGATCGGTCTTTACCATTGCTTATACTGCACTGTGGTAGATTTTGGTAAATTCGCAAAGGGCACCCAGCAAAAAAATGTGAGGATCATTGCTTTGAATCATTCATGGGCTCAACAGGTGAATAGGACTTGAAGTTTTGAGGGGATGAATTGTGTATAATAATCACAGGAAACAGTATGACCTCATTCTGGAAGGAGATGACTTGGAACCCCCTTCCCATCATGCCTCAGCCTCGCGGAAGAGACGACAAGATTCCAGTGACGAGTCAAGCGGCAGGAGAGATAACGGATCAAGCAGAAAAATAAAGGTTGCCCCTTAGAATCGTTTCCAAGACCACATCAAGGGAGTGAAAATACGTCCTCCCAATGCTTCTTTTCTCTCTACCACTCAAATGAATTGAAACCAGCACGCAGCCCACTGAATACGTTCAGTTTCCTAATGTTATGAAGTTTTCATAAAATCTGCTAATTTCATAATGCTCGTCATTTGCAAAGAGCCTATTCGCACAACTTGTGCAAGAATGAATCCTCCCCATTATGCTGAGAAAGAAAGAGTGCCTGAGTTTCTGAATTTTTTGACTGCTCAGGTTCATTCTAGAAATGTCAGTTGCCAAGTAATATTTAAATTTATAACCCAATTTTTGCTAATTTTTGTTCATGCTGGATGGTGGAACATGTTTACCTGGGGCTCATTAAAATAGGCCAGTGCATGAAAGTTGCATTGAGCATATAAGAAACATGCGTCAAGTATCACCATGGCAATATTTTGAGTATGTTGCCCAGTCAGGCAAGATATTGCCCAGTTGGGCAATATGCTCAATGCTTCTCGACTGTTACAGTGCCCTCTTAGAGGTTAAACTCTTTGTAACACTAGAAATGATGACTTTGTGGAGTATAGGGTGTCGCAAATCACAGCCTTCCACATTTATAGGTAATAGTCCCTCTTGGGGTCATTTGTAGTCCTAAAGGGGCAAAGACGTGCACTATTAATTTCATTACCAGTCAATATTTGTATTAACCCCCAGTTGGTTTATATTTTCAGGTGAAAGCAAGGAAGCGCAGGGAGAGTAGTACAGGTAGTGAAGGTAGCGACTATGACCGCAGCAGGCGGCAGAAAAAGGACAAGCGCAGAAAGCACGACAGTTCCAGCGATGAAGATGCATTCAGGGACAGACACAGGGAGAAACACAGGGACAAGGATAGGGACAGAGACCATGGGGAGAAAAGGCAAAGTGACAGAAGGGATGACAGAGACGGAAGGGGGAGAGACACACGTAGAGACAGAGAAAGAGATAGAGGGAGGGGTGACCGGGAGAGGGACAGAGATAGGAGGAGGGACCGGGAGGCAGACAGGGATGACAGACGCAGGAAAGATGAGGAAAGAGACAGGGCGAGAGATAGAGGTAGAGAAAGGGACAGAGACAGGGATAGGCACCGTGATAGAAGATAGTGTTTGCTTTGGTTTGTGAAAAATGAAAGTCAGAGTGTCAAACAAAGGGTTTTAAGATTTTTGAGAAGTTGAAGGGGGTACTCGTCCTGATCTCCTCGAAGTTTCTCATGTATTTTTTAAGCAGTCCGATCGACAGAACATTTCCAAATGGGGAGACAGATCATGCATCTTTGTAATCAGGTCTGTCAAAGTGGATGTGGGGCAAAGGACTCCTATTTTGATACGTATAGGAGTCAAATGCCATGTCTGCTGTTTTTACCGACTATGATGCGAAGACCTTGGCACTGGACTTTTTGGAGGGAAATGTTGTATTTTTGTACAGTAGTTTTGTTTTTGTAATGAGTTGTGGTAAATGTACAGGTGATACGGAGCATTGCTCTTCTGTTGTTAAGATAAATTTAAATGTCACTCGTTTTGATTCCATGTGGCAGATGTCCACAGTGTATATTCAGAGCACTCTTTTGCGTGGGTAGGCGTCTATTGCTCTGACAGGACAATTTTGTTTGTCAAGAAAGTTGAGAATGAGATCGAGTTGTGGGGGCAGAATTGTTCCCAACATCCGTTTCAAAATGTATGTAGTCCCCACAACTGTAGATCAAGCATGTATGATCTTGTATTCAACGCCATGAAGTATGTGATACCAAACAGGTTATGTTTTAGGAGAGATGTCTCATTTGATAAGCTCACTTTCTATTTAGTTTTTGGATTGAAAAGTTGGTTCTGCTGACGTCTGATGCGCTGGAAGGGCATAGACTTTCTCGGAGGCATTTCTCATCGTGCAGTTTGTATTGTTTAAAATGTAGTTTCTGCTTCAAGTCGATGGAGTTTCTAATGCATCTTGATTTGTATTGGAATTTCTTCAGTTACCTTCTCGCAGTCATTTTCTGTGCCCTTTTCTGAGCATGCCAATCCATCTCATCTTTTGGTGGTTTTATTGACACTTTTTTAACAGGTGTGTAAACTTTTCCTACGTTCCTGAATAATCTGGCCAAAAGTGTCACAGTCTACTGATCTGCCTGCAACTTTAATTATACAAAATTTCATATTTTGTATGAGCTTTAGAATTGTTCTTCAATACCTCAGCCAAATCTAGAGCGTTTTTTACTCCCTTTTGTAACATGTATTAGGTTGTTACCATTGGAAATAAATACTACTGAAGTGAGTTAAAGTTTTCTTCATCAAGTGCTAGCTCATGAAAGCTTTTTCTGTACTTATTAATCTCCCCCCCCAAAAAAAACCCAGTCCACTGGAGATTTTTCTCTTCACACTGAAAACGACATTCCCCACCATCAAACTCCGATCATGATGATCTGCCAACAAGATTACATGAAGTAACATAAGAAGTGGTAAAAGTAGAGCACAGAAGAATTTCTGTAGAGCCAACAATGCACAAGTCTCCAAGAAAAACTTTGAAAGAGAGAGAGGGGGCACTCGAGGGTGTAGGCAAACAAGGGGGCATGGGGGAAACTCGGAATATAATGGTGTGTAATGAACGTAAGCCTATCCCCTGTGAAAATTCTTGGATTTTATAAAACTCCGTATGTATGCCCTTGCGGTTTTGTTTGTTTGTTTTCTTTTTTCTTTTCTTTTTTCTTTCTTTTTTTGTAATGTTTTCTCTGTTGATCCGTTTTCTAAGACTGCGTATGTTATTTGCTGAGGCACAAGATTGACTGGACACGCCCACGTAGGCAGCCCAGGAATCGGACAGCGAGACGACTTAAACAAGTCTATTTTCAGTTGTTTTTCATTCAAGAAGTAAAATCCATACACTTGCGGGTGTTCGTGAGAAACGTTTGTTAAATTAGATTCATCCAGCAAAATTTGTCTTGAAAGAAAAAAATGTATGCTGAATCGTCAGAATTCTCAGTGCTGTGTGTCATCCATATTCATCCTTTCTTGTTGTATTTTACTATTTGCTTACAGTTACGTGGGAAAGTAACGAATGAATGTGTTTAAACTCATTTTACTGCATGGAGTCTAAGTTACATATCAATCAGTGAAAGTTTTCCTCCAAATCAGAAAGACCTGACGTTAGGTCCGACAGATTTACGTGGCATTCTAGAACGAAAAAAGTGACCGGATGTTCACCACCCACTGAAGAAAGTACACAACCGGTACGTTGACCATGAAAAAAAAAACCATAGAGCAAGGAAATAGACAAATCATAGAGTTAAGAAGGATTTGGGGGGATTGTTAGGGATGTGAGGACATGCTTTTCGATCAAACCATGGAGGTAGAATGATCAAACCATGAGCAAGGGAGGTAGGTTGCTCCCCTACCCTAGTGTATTGTAGGGTTCGTCATTCGCCATTTCCCCATGATGTAGAGCCTGAAAGTTGACCCCTGATGGCGTGCTTCCGGAATTCTTAGACTGGAAAAATAATGTGCAAAAATTTTAGAGGTTGTGATATTTTTCGGTCAGCAACTTCTAACAAATCAAACTCAGAAAAAGGGCTTTGGAAAATATTTGCTTGTGAGTTGCATATCAATTTATAGGAAATGAAAAATTACCTGATTTTAAAGAGAAATATCCTGCCAAAAACTGACCTCTCACTTCTGAACATCTATGATTAGGGGCCTACAACAGTGCAATACGGCAGTCTCATACACAGATGAACATTTACAGTTTGAAATTTTATGGTTGTCTGTTGGTAAAAGCCAAAATAAAACAGATGAAAATATTTTTACAGACTTTTTAAATCCATAAGGTGGACCTAATAAACTTTTAAAAAATATTTCATCTAACTTTTGCTGACAAAAACTGCATCATGTCAACTCATTGGAATGTGGAACCCATCGACTGCAGGTACATATAGGTAAATCTTTGCAACGTTGTACAATCTCGTTTTCACATGAGCACAGGGAGTGAAAACATTAAACAAACGTGCAAAGAGACCTAGGACAATATCACCGGAAGTGGAAGGTCGTTAATGAAATTTGTTTTTTACACATGTCCAGGTGACTTTTCCTGCATATTACTTGAGGAAGACAAAGGAAAAATTCCAACCGGAGTGTTTTATGGGACAAAATATTGTCCCCATAGCGCAAATCAATCTCACTGCTGTTCAGTGGAATCTTGCGTCTCTCCTGACCAAACTTGGATGTATACATCCAAAATCCCTTGTTGTTTTTTAAAATGATACAGGAACGGACCAGGCCATGCACGAGTTATGAGCTGTCCATGATCATGAAGGTTTCACAGCCTGTCCAGAACGGGGAAAAGTGCTGAACATGCTGGAACAGGAGGACCGCAACTGCCTGGCCAGACTCCCCTCACGGAAGACGGCGCTGGTCGTGCTTATCGGGATCGCAGTGACTGTGACGCTGACGCTGGTCCACCTGAGCGGCCAGTGGGTGGGCCAGCGTGTTTTTAAGCCGGTGCACGAGCCGAGCCTAGCCCACCGCAGCAAGCAGCTGTTGTCACAGAAAGTGCTCAGGGAGCCAGCAAAGATCTCCTGGAAAGACCGGCAAGATGAGGACTTGAAGAGCAGAAATAAGGAAGGCACAGGTAGAAACACTTCCAGTGTTGTGTTTAGAATTATTTTCTAAATACAAGTATTTCAGACAGTTTACCCATTCGCATTGGTTGACAGCACATCACATGGTTTGATTACGTACATGTATACTGCTGACACAATTACCGACCGGTTTTAAAAACATTAGTCTAGTTTCAAGTGGAATTTTGACTCCTTGATGGCCTCAAACCCTCGTACATGGCAGTCGTTAGCCTAATAATCTGAACTTAAGCATGCCAAGTGTGGCAAATGAGCCTGAACTTTTATGCAGTGTAAGTTTCGCTCAGCTTGGGCATTGCTGTGTTGTACACCGCATGTCACTATAGCACTGTGCCTGCGACTTTCCACATGTACAAAAGGGGTTTTTCACTCAGGTGATAGTTGACGGTCAGTTTTCAGTTTACACAGATGTTCATGGAAATGCACGCGCCTTCAAAGTTTTTCAGAATTCTGCGCACATGAACTTGCCAATAGAAAGACCAGTGTTGTAGTCACGTCACCAATGTTGAGTCTGAGTCCCGAGTCTCAAGTCCTGAGTTCAAGTCTTGAGTCACAAACCTCGAGTCTGAGTCATTATCCAATGTGATTTGAGTCGAGTCCAAAGGTGTGACTCGAGTCCAACTCGAGTCAGAGTCCTGGACTCGAGTCATACAACACTGAGAAAGACGCATGTATCAACAATGCATGCACCACTGCAGACTCAGAACGTTTCCTGAATTGCCGTTGACTGTGAAGTGATATCACATGAAACACCTCTATAGATATGGTGAGAGGGTGTTTACAGTTAAATGCATGGTGGAAAGTGATGTCACTGGACTTGACACTTTTGCCAATACAAGTGTAGTTCATTCATCATGTTCACTTCTTGTTGTTTGTTAAAAAGATGAGCCTTCGTCGCACCAACTTAAAGGTGGTTTTGCCAAAGAAGAACGTACCTCAGGGAGCATGGACTCTTCAAAGAGACCTTTACCGTCATTAAACAGTATTATTGGAGAGAGGCCGGGACAAAACTTGTCAGCAGTAAACAATGTAGGGCTCCTCAGTGTTCCCTCCAGGGGCCAGACTGAGCACTCTTTTCCACCACCTACGAGGAAGAGAGTGGATCAGATAACTGCTCTGTTGGACCCAAAGATTGGCCAGTCTGTGGTCCCAACAGAGAAGCTTCTTCAAGGCACCATACGGAGAGAGAGGGTACCAGCCGCCACTGAAAAACTGTCAGGAGAGATGAAGTGGTCAAGGAGAAATGTGTATGACTTCAATGATCGGGACCGCAATGCTTTTCGGGGTCTTCGACTCCGGAACAAGAACGACCGAGTTTGGAAGGTACTCACAAATTATATTTTGTTTAGCGTTTTTAGAAATATTTTTTTAGATTCAATCGCAATCATTCATGATGTAATTAATGTACAATTGCTTTCTGACTCGAATTTCACGTTCTCTCCGACAGAGCAAAGAAGCTATAATCTTCAACCGGGTCGGAAAATGTGGCAGTCGCACCATAATTGGAATCCTGCGCAAGCTGTCAGACCTCAACAATTTCAATCTGGTGTCCTCGACTGTGTATAACTCAACAGCCATCAGTACAGAGTGGCAAGTAGGTAGAAAGACCAAGGGTAGATCCGGGTGGGCTAACAGGCCACCCCCCCTCAAAAAAAGAGGACCAAAAGTATTTTTTGTAATATTTATGAGAGAAAGGCAAATGTTTTGGTCTTTTTTTTTATTCCCCATCCTTCGAAAAGCCCCCCAAATCTAGTCTCATCCCTCAGAGAGCCCACAAAGGATTACATGAAAAAATTTCCACATTTTTGGCAAAAGCAGGCCAAGTAAACTTGTAAGCTGTTATCTGGAAAGGGATTATGATTTGCACCAGGACAATGTGTATTCAGCATTTTTCATTGCCGGGAAATACGTTGGATCTCTCAAACATTAAGATTACGTGCATACTTCCGCCTGCCTTGGTCACATTTAGGCCAACATGTCTTTGTAAAAATGAGCATTTCACAAGAACAGTATGTTAAGTTTCTATGAAATTGACATCAAAATAACCTTAAGACATCAGTAGAATACATGTAACTCCTGAAGGCCCCACCATTTCAAAAAAATGGTTTGCGATATCGGAGATGATGCAGGGGCAGACTAACTCCTAGGGTAAGCTCAGGGGGGAGCTTTCCAGAGAAGTTGCCTGCATCAAATTTTGTCGTATTTGGATTTTTCTCTGCAGTCCTACATTGTGAAAGTCATGGAGCGCGTCAAGACACCGTACCTGTTTCAGAGACATCTGCATTTTGTCGACTTCACAGAGTGAGTGAAAGACGAGTTTTGTCTCCTGACGACCAAACGGCAGTTTGGGATTCATAGAATAACCCCCCCTTCCTGTTTGTTTTTCTTTTGTTTAAGCTGCCGCTCACAAGATAATTTCATTTTTCTTTTATTTTTACCTTTAACTTTCTCTGTAGATTTAATGCAAGGCAGCCAATGTACATCAATGTTATAAGAGATCCACTATCACGCTTTGTGTCCAATTACTACTTCAAACGCTTTGGGGATGGGCGGAGCAACCAGAACTTTAAGGGGTCCAAGGAGGCAAAGTACAGAGTGAGTAGATGAATTTGAATAATTTTAATACCAGATTTGACCTTTGCAAGTTCCCACCCCCAACCCAACAGTGTACAGCAGGAAAAAAGAGACTGGCCGCTCAGTTCCTGCCTCCAGAGTTTTACAGAATGAGATTGGAGGGACCAGGCAGGAACAGTCTACTCACCTCCCTGGTATGCGAAAATTGAACATATCAGAAGGGGCGTATTTAAACCAGTGAAGTCAGTGACAGTGTTGGCCCAAGGGGATGTCATTGCTAGCTAACAAAGCGCCCTCTTTCATCCGTGCATGGAACCAATAGTCTCCAGGAACAAGTGTCCCCTATTAAGTGAAAACTACTCTTAATGTGTTGAGTTGTGTTAAGCGGTACTACAGTACGTCGTTCCTCAGTAGACCTTATGTTTGAGTTGGTCATATTGAAATTGAAAGTGAGGTTAACTTTTCATTTAAGGATCCTGACAGCATCAAGAACAAATTCTAAAATAGTCTGATACCATCCCACTCAGTAGTTAACTATTTATTAAACAGATTCAGTGAACATGATCAAAAATGGCTTCCCCAGGAACAAGGTCCATTCTGATTGGTCAATTCATGGCATTAACTACAGTATGTGATATTATACTGTATATCCCGGTCCATATTGCACCCTGTGTTTTGCACTGTTCTCATTCTGGATATCGCTCTGTTTTATGCTCACATGAAACGCACGACTGCATAATTCCCCTGTTAATTCGAAAGCAGCGCGTCTGCACGTTTCAACATGTGCACTCTCATGACACTTCCCTGTTCACGGTTTATTCTGATTGTTTTCAGGAAATTAAGAATGTTGGCTTTAATGAAAAAGGTAAAAAATGTCAATCGTTAATGCAGGTGCTACCGTCTTGTTTTCAACCGGAGGAAAATATAATTAATTGTAGTGCTCACTAGTGAATGAAAATCGCAGAACTACCTGTTACTGTTATTTGGCGTGTGCACGTTTGGAATATTTTATGTGTGTGTGTAAACCACATACATGTATATATGTTTTTCCAATGCTCGCAGGGTAACTAATAAACACCTGTTCTTTGCCCTTAGTCGGTCACCGAGTGCATCATAAAGGGTTACAAAGAGTGTGTGCGGTCTGGCAGCTTCTATATCATTCCCTTCTTTTGCGGCCAGCGAAAAGAGTGCCGGTAAGATGTTGTCACGCTTCACCTGTGCCAGTAGATCAAGGGGGAAATGCCGATGCATGACAGGACGATGCATTTTGACTCACTTTATGCAATGCCACTAGTCATGGCCAATGGACAAGATGAGGCTGGTAGACGCATGAGTGTCTCTTAGACACTCTCCAGCATTGTTCTTGTACTCCTCTTTGATAACGTATTTTTGATAATCACTCATACTCAGAGTGAAACTCTTTTACTCATTAAGATGAAGTGCTCATGCACATTTGAAATGAACTCATGCTCTCCTTTGCAAAGTGAAAGACTCATACTCAAAGTGAAACACTCATACTCAAAGTGAAACACTTTTACTCATTAAGATGAAGTGCTCATGCACATTGAAATGAACTCATGCTCCTTTGCAAAGTGAGAGACTCATACTCAAAGTATAACACTTTTACTCATTAAGATGAAGTGCTCATGCTCATTGAAATGAACTTGTGCTCGTAGACAGAGTGAAAGACTCATACTCGTGGCAATGCAGTCATACTCATAGTAATGTGCTCATTCTCAAAAAAGTACTGACACTCAACTTGAACAGTGCCTTACTGGCCTCATTAGACAGCTGCTTCTGTTGTTCAGATGTACAGTATAAGCAACTTCATAAACTTGGAAACCATGCTTCTTGAAGCTAGACAAATACCGAAACCTGGATTTCAAATGCCCACTGAAACTCTGCCGCAGTGCCACTTCAGTTGTCACTACTTCTGCAACCCTTTTTCTCCCCCCCCCCACCCTCCCGATCACTCCTCAAACGAACCGCAGACGGCCGTCGCAGTGGGCCCTGGACGAAGCCAAATTGAATGTGGAGAAACACTTTGTTGTGGTCGGCATCCTGGAGGATCTGGAGAGCTCCTTCCGAGTCCTGGAGAAGGCCCTGCCGCAGTTTTTCACAGGAGCTGTCAAGCTCTTGCTAGAACCAGGTAAGTAAAAGCTGGAACATTCATTTGTCTATGTTGAAAGTTGAGTGCAATTCAGCCCAATTTGAACCGCACTCTCACCAGCAAAGAAGAGACAGGTTGGTGGGAATTGTTTGAACACGCGGCATGCATGCTTAAGCTGTACATTCTAAGATAAACTGATGGCGCTCACTCAGCGCGTTCAGCGGCAGACGTCAGTGATCCCATTCACACACACAAGTTCCCATTAAAGGACCCTAGGTGCCACACCAAAGCACACCGTCTCTTGATCTTGCATGAGGCACTGTAGACGGCCCTGTGGGCCGGTGCTGTCTCGTTCTGTGGGGAACTCTGCATATCGTCATCAACACCACGAAGTACTACCCATCCATAGATGTGTGCGCCGCTTCAGCGCGTATTTTACAGAGATGTGTTACTTTCATTTTCACGAAGTAGCACTGGGCACGTGCTACGTGAGTTGTCGTTTTCAGGAATCGACTTTTTCCTTAAGTTAAACAGTCAAAACGAGTTTTTAAAATCATGTTCTAGTTAAGTCACATATTTACGGGTAAATCAAATCATGTTGGACCTTTCAAAGCATTTTTATACCTGCTATATTGACAAAATACACTTGAGTGCTACTTCGTGAAACCGAAATAGTTGGAAACATGGTTTTCACGAAGTAGCACACAAGTGCAGTTGAATGCTACATTGTGGTGTTGGTGACGAAATGATGGATCTGAGTCAAGTTTGTGGTGGTGGGCTGTGTGCAAGTTTGCGACACTGTGCATGGGTTGGTGAAAATCAAGTTTCATGCCCATGTTGTTCACAACATTTGCGCCTCTGAGGAGCAGTTGTGGAGGAATTTAGAGGACAGATTTTGAAATGTCACAAAACGAAGACAAAGGAAACTAAGGACGCTAACTAATGCGGAATGAAAAAAGATTCATGATTGGAAAAAATACGATTTTGGTTGCAGACGATAAGCAGGCCCTGAAGAATGCCTCAACCACGACCAAATACAAAGAGAAACCATCAAAGGAGGCGGCGGCCATCATGAAAAAGCTGATGTACTATGAGTACGAGTTCTACAAGTTTGTCAAGGACAGGCTGGAGAGACAGAAGCAACAGTACGGCATCGGAATGGCAGAGTGAAGGGAGTCGCGACGACGCAGGTAACACCCTGGAAGATCGCTAACCAACAGGGACCAAGACAACATGTCAGAGCTGCTGGACTCGCCTACAGTGGCTGAAAAAAAAAAGAGAAAGATCTGCCCGCCGTGACGGGTAAGCAGGTAAGACTGACTGCCGTTGATGCTACCGTTAGATAAAAGAGGGAAAGGGTTAGTAAGCACAAGTAGGCCCAAGGTCTAATTTTAAATGAATGAACCAGGGTGGCCTAACCACCTACATTCAGTGGTTTGTTGAATCGGTTGAACTGCGTTTCAGTGAGATTGGCACTGAATCTCGCTCCAAAATGTGAACATCTTCTAGATTTGATATGTGCATAAGTGCATTTCCAACTCAGTCATATGTTCATCCCGTCAACTCTTTGAGATGTCAACTCTAGATAGTTCTTTGAAGAAGCACTTCTTTTTTTAATCGAGCGGAACTGTAGACCAAGGTTATCCAAAAGTTCTTCCATAAGCCCAGACTACTAGGTCTAACTGCTCCAAGTTGTGGTCAAAGCATCTCATATCCGTGGGTTACGTAACAGATGGGCATGTATGCCAAACATATTTTCTGACAAAATAAAATGAACTGTATGAATTCTACGGTGAATTTGAAGGTGCTGCATTAGAAATTAATGAGATTCTCCGACAAAACAACCAACAGATATTGTTAAAGCGTGACCAATTGTACAATTGAAACTCTATGCAAAATCACATTAACATATTCAAGCAGTATGGCATTACTTGGATATGCGTATTTGGACCATTCACGTAGTGTCAAAATTAGACCACACCTGTGGTAAACAACTCAACCCGTACACCTAGTAACAGCTCAGTGGGATATGGCAACTCGGTATGTCACAGTGGGCGCATGAAACCTGTATGGACGTCATAAGAATGCAGCGGTCCGTAAAAGTGCACATCCCACATACATGTCAGTTTAGATTGGAACATACTGGTGATGTCAGTGTTCAGGTGCTAAATTGGATAAACGGAAGACAGTGAGTATGAGTTTACCCCAAAAAAATAATCAGTCATTGTATTTTTTTTCTGCAAGCAAAGTTGTATATACAGTAGCCATCTGACTATAGAAGTGCGTAGAAGCGCATGAAAGGACGACCTCTGTTAAAATTTTGGCCCAAGGGTCAAAAAGTTAAGCTAAAAACTCAAATGCTAATAAGCATTTTCAAAACAGCAAGATTTTTGTCAACGGACCAAAACAGTAAAGGATCATTCTGCCAACAGGAAACAAGTCTGTGTGAAGCTGGGTGAAAAAGTTGCAGAAAAATTTTGAGAAAAAAATCAGCACCGGCTCTCACGCTTGAAATGCAAGTGCTTTGGGCGAACACTTAATGAAACCATGTAATTGGGCAATTTTACTTTTGTGAACTGACGCCTGGATGTGCAGGCGCTCTGGAATTACTGGAGCGTTGTGGAATAATTTCGGTTTTCATGAACTGACACACAAGCGTGTAGTGGATACGAGTTTCTAAGGAGAACGCTTTAAATTTACTTTTTGGGTTGAGAAAAATTGTACCCGGAAATTTTGAACGTGGGAAATTCCGAAAAAAAGTCTCACTTTGTGAAAACATTGCATTGCAGTGCTCAGTTAGAGTTCCCGAAAACCAAAATGTTTCACATCACTGAAACTTTTATGCAAATGGAGGGCACTCGTGCTCCGAATGCCAATATGTTGTGTCGGCAACTAAGTGGCTTTAACTCGTTTCATCAGACTTCCTTACTGCTTGCAACTTTCCAGCTTCGACTTGGCATGTATGCAAATTTCCATGTTTATAATGTACATATGCATGTATTCCAACTATTAAAACCTTGAATATGTACATGTATTCAACAGCTTCGGAACTGTTGAGGCATATTGTGTATGAGCTGTTAGAAATTAATGAAATTCCTGAAAAACATCGGGAAAATCCAAGAATATTTTATGCAATTAGACTGTACAGCACATACTTTTGAAGAGCATGTATTTAAAATAACGTCTTCTTTTTAAAACCTGCATCTCATTCATCGTCTAGAGTACGTGTCCTAGAAGCTCGTGACGTTAGAGATATCGTGACCCAAAAATATTAAGTTGTGGTCACGAGTTTGTACATTTTCTAATTTATACCCTCATTTTTTGGAGGGTCGACTGGTTTTAATTTCCCCTAACCACTTTTATAAGGCCAAAGAACTGTCCTGCGCAAGCATTAAAAGCAGTGTACATGTACGTGTTCATTTTATGTTCTATTGATGCTCAAAGTTTATTTTTATAAAGTCAAAGCTTTGTTTTTGTGACTTAATTCCTATGCAAAGATGCATCATAAAAGAATTCATTTTGTACGACGGGGAAAATTGGAATAAAAAAAATTTCATCGGGACTTTGTGGCGGGTGTATGAAATCGACATTTACGAATCAGAATATTTGAAGTTTGATTAAATTTCACCGTGTTTCACCGCAGTCATCGAGTGTAAGGAACGAGTGTTGCTATTAAACCTCAACTTCCTCAAGTCCTCGAAATTACCAATTTTTGGCGGGCCGGATTAGTGTCCTTGCTGGGTGGGCCATGCACCAGTTGTTTTTCAACAGTTACCAATGACCAGTGAAATGATAAACAACATGGACTGCACAACCGTAAAAGACAAAAACAAACAGACACACCACACCACACGATTTTTGAGATGTGAACAGTACTTGCGGTACATGTACAAGTCTATTCAGTCTGTCTGGACTGTTTCCCTTTATTTCCAACACGCGAGTAGAGCCAACGAAAACATGACCGCCCTGTCACCCCGCCCGGTGTGGTGGTCATCTCCGCGCACCACAACGGGAAAGTCGTCCGCTTAATGTCCGGCTATTCACGGGGGGGGGGGCGTTTAGACCGGGAGACAGCTGACACCGCCACACATGAGCGCCGTGCTGCTTGCACGTGTGGCTGGTCGGTCTGGTCGGCGGCGGCTGCCCAAGCGAGGCTGCGCTGAGACCATTGCACGGCGCGGCATTTAAGGACCGATTGCTTCAAATGTTGCCCTATCAGCCGCCCGGAGTATAAGTTGCAGGGGCATTTTTCAGCGTGCAGAATCAACTTATTAACCGCGGCTTATATTCTAAATTGTGGTATTCATCTGAATCTGAATGGTTTGGTCAGCAAAATGTCCTCCAAGACACATCCACGCTAACTTCTGAGAAGATTTAGTTGATGTGGAGTTTTTCAGTGCACGTAATAGATGCTTGTTTTAGAAGCCATTGCCTGCTCCAGGCAATGAACTTTTCGTTGATTCCATTTTGGTGCAATTTCACACTCATATTCAGTGTATGAAAATTAACTGACATCGTTCCAGGCCGAAAAAGTGCAACTTTAAACATTTAAAGTTGACCATGCCTTTCCGGACAACTGATGGCGCTGTTGCCGTGATGTCACTCAGGGGAGATATTCACTTTTGACTGTTTTTCCGTTCAACTTGTGCAGCCGGGCCAAAGTTCTCTCACTGAAAATCTTTCTGAACAATGGTTGCCGCTCTGATTCATTGCCGTGTAGTCCACACAGCAAAAAAAAACCACCAAAGAAAAGGAAATTTAAAACAGAAAAATGTTAACCGTTCCAGCAGTTTTTAAGAACGAATCATTGCACGACTGAGGCATTCTCCCAGCCTGGATGACATTATACTGTTCTTCTCTTGAACCTGGAAATTCAGCGTAAAACCAAAAAGGCAAACAAATTTCTCTTTGAAATATCAAGACAGAATTTGAAGGTGAAGTTAATTGGAACACAGAGATCCACTTTTTAAGGTTGTAATGAAAAACGTCTATTGTATGGCCCCTTCAAACAACGGATGACCTCCTTGAGTTTTTTGTCGGTGTGTCCAAATAGGCCTAATTGTTCTTATCAATAGTGCTTATTAAATTTTCTGTGCGGTTGAGATTTAGCTCATCGTACACAACGGAGGCTGAAAGATTCCTTTATTTTGCCACCTTGTCCTTAATGTGTGTAACCTTTTTTAAACCTTGAATAGTCATTTTGAAAACCTTACAAGTTTATGAACTGTACTTATTTGTACTTACAATTCGTGAATAGATGTCAGTGAAGCGCGTGAAAATCTGAACGACCTCAAGATCGAGAATGTTGGACATAGCTACTGTTGGTGCTAAACTGTGTTCATTAGGCAATACACGTGTACCTTTTCTCATGCACACTCCTTAGCATTTTGTTGTATCACGTAAGCATAAATAAACCTGTTACGGAAATTGTGGGCATTTTGGTGACAAGTCTGTACATATTCTGGCATTTATAACCTTGTCCTCGTTTTAGAGGGTCGACATGTGGTTGTTCTTTTGTAATAAAGATGTTTCTAGAGAAACGCGATTGTCAAGTTGTTCTTTATTTAAACTCTCGCTTGTTCGATCAAAGCATATTGAACCCAATGTTTGTGTACTGATATATATAAATTGCTGTTTGGTTCATTTGGTTTGTCCCGGAAGTAACAATGTACAAACTTTAATCAAGTCAGCGAAGGTTCACGAGTACAACAAAAAGTTCAAAACAAATCGAAGCAAACAAATCCGTAGCCTTTTATTCAGGCAGCCTAGAAATTTTTTTCAATTTTGAAAGACAACAAATATTTGTAACAAAACCACGAAAGAGAAACGTTTGGGTTTTGCACACTCCGTCCAGCATATGCGACAATCAGAAAATTGTGTTTTTAGACTGGTCGAACGAAACATGAAGCGGTTATGGGCCTCGAGCTGGACCAAGAGAGGGCGCTATTTCCTTAGCAACGGAGGCTCCTTTGGTACTAACTGGTTCACGAACGATTAGAAAACGCAAGCGTTGCAGTCCGTCGCTACCAAAGATCGTGTAGCGCCGACAAAATCGCCATCGATACCGACAAAATCACTACCGTTACCGACAAAATGAATAGGGCTCCTCCCGACCAACGCGGCTCCAATCAACTGATGAGGGGGTGCTTCTGCTCAGGGCGATATAACGCTGGGAGATACATTTCTGCAGGGTTTCAAATTCGATGAGGCTCCTGGAGGAATGGAGATACCTCGCTGACGAATTGTTACATTAAAATAAGGTCAAACTGCATTCATTTTCAAAGGGCACACTTTACGTTACCGACACCAAGTTTCAGGACATAGAGTTCAAGATCGGTTAACTGCCCAAGTCGACCGAATCGTGATTTGTGCACCCAAAAATTATCTCTTACAAGAATGTCTGACTGGCGGAAACGTCTTACCGCCGCACATTAAAAAAAACCGCTGCCGTATTTTTTCTCGTACGAACGTGATTATTATCAGGCACGTACTTCATATTTTCAAATACATACATGGTAGTTTCAGCTTTACGTACGTACGTGGTGGTACGTGATAGTTTCACGTCCGGACATCATAGTTTCACGTATGTACGCGTTAGTTTACACTTACGTTATCAGCTTCGTGTACGTACGTGATAGTTTCACCTACGGACATGATAGTTTCACGTATGTACGTGTTATCAGCTTCATGTACATGTACGTACATGAAAACTAGTGACGTACGAGACTTTTGGGAGGAATTAGATTAAATTAAACCCCAATTCGGCCTGTCATTCCCGAAGTTAGATCGACACATAGACCGCTTTTTGTGTGGTCATCATTGCAGGGAAACGAAACCAACAAGAAATCCTTTTTGTGTACATGTATCGTCAAAAAGTTGAATTGAAAATGGAATTAGTAAATCGAGTTTTACACATAATTTACATGTATATCTAGATCTTGAACACCTTGGAGAATGTTGAGTGTTTGTGTTTGTGTTTGAGTTGGAGTATATATCTCTCGTTGTTCGAGGCTATTACAATATTGCTGGTCAAAGGGGATTTAAAGCTCCAAAATAATAATACAGTCGAAACTCAGTAATAATAGCCCTGTTAATACAAGATCCTGCTAGCAAGTAAATTTTGAAGTCCCAATCATTTGTTTTTCATTGTTTTCTTTCCTGATAATACAAGGTTCGTGTTATAATTAACAAGGTAATTTGCCAAGTCTGAACGACCTCTTATTAACGGGGTTCGAAGGGTGTTCCGTTGGTGCAAGATCTGAGTTTCAATCTGACAGTTGTTTTTTCGCAAATTAAGCTTGTCAAAGACATGTTTGCGACAACTTGCTCTGTCAAGTAATTACTCACCGGTAGCAACGGAGAGTGCGCTGTGCATTCTCGGATGTAATTAAAGAGATCATCTGTCACCATTATGAAGCAGGATGGATCGGGAATGTGAACTAAATACCACCAGCAAAATATTGACCGCGTCTCGGCGGGCTGTGTATGCAGGGCTTGGGCAGAGAGTCTTGACAGGTGCGGAACCCGCACTCCTCGTCGAGCCGACGCATGTGCATGCTTGCGGGGCGATGACCGACGCTTCCCAGCCCTATGTCTCCCGGACGCTTCATCAAGAGCAGACGCATCTCGGTTGATTAGTTCAGGCAGGCTGCGTGCTGAGCGAAGGATACGATGGGCGTTTTCCTCCTGAGAAACGATGTTGAAAAACAACATCTGATCTGTGTTTTGTGACGATGAGCTTCATCTTTGTATAACTTGAGCTTTTATCCCCGACGGTTTCCTAAAATGACTCGTTGAGGTCGCCAAACGCTTCAATTGCTTCACTAACCCCTATAAGCTCGATTATGCATTACATGCATCTCTAGCTCTTGTACACTATAACTCTATAGGGCCTAACTATGTACTCTGGTACAACTATTTAAGCGAGCCAAACTTGGTCAAACTCGTATAGACCCCTTTTTTCAACAACACAGCTGCAGATTCTGAAAACTAGGGGTTGGCAAACTTTTTGGCAGTTCAAAAACAAAGAAGTAAGTCACCCTGTCAAGCAAAATCTCACACAGCTATTTAACCACAGTTTAGAATAAGTAATATTGCTGGAAATGAATACTTAACCTCTGAACACAAATGGAACAAAATGAGCAGTTGAAGGCAAAAGCTGCCAGCTTTGGCCCTACGTCCAAAATGGCGCCCCCATTCAACACTGTGAAGTCAAGACCCTGCAGGACACGCTCGGCTCGGCAGAAACAATGAGAGAATGATATTTTGCTCTGGGTCAGCCAGAAATCAACACATGCATGTCACATGGTTTTCTTTTTTACTCTCAAAAGTGTCTCTTTGGCTCTCAGATTTCTCATAGGCTGTTTCTTCATTTATTTTTTTAAAGGCTTTAATTGCGTTTCTCATTATTTTGGCACCGGTTTGCAAAAGCGAGCTCAATTTTGGAACATTGCAAGTGACTTCTTTAATGCACTGGACGTCTTTAATATGTAAACGTACATCCGTTTCACGGCTCCTTGTGGCACCGAAGTCGCACCAGAACTGGATCAGCAATTCCCC